AGGTCGGAACTGGTGTCCAGATCCACCCGCTGCTGAAACTGCCTCAGGGCTGACTACAGGAAGCCGGAGTCAGAGTTGCTCTGCCCCAGGCTTCCTGGAATCAGCCACTGAACAGTTTCAGCAGCAGCTGACTTGGGGACGCCTGGGTTTCTTAAGTTGAATCTGTATATAAGTCAGAACTGGCGCCCAGATTCAGCTGCGGTTGAAACTGATCAGTTTCAGCAGCGGCTGACGCCAGTTCCGACTTACATAGAGATTCAACTTAAGAACCAACCTACAGTCCCTATCTTGTACGTAACCCGGGGACTGCCTGTACATGTAATAGTGGCACAAAAAGGAGAATGGAGGGGAACCTATTGGTGGGCTCCTTAATGAGAAATGCTGGTGCCATGAAGCAGAACAACGCAGTTTGAAGTGCCAAAGGAGTCAGGGAACAAGAGCAGAGAGAACGAATATAAATGAGAATAAATATTAAATATATTGAGTAGACTGTTATTCCTCCTTGTGGGATTTTCTGTAACTAAAATAGTGGAATCTGTACTTGATCCAGAGCAAAGGATGTTAGCCTCAGAGCATCAGTAGTTGATCTATCTGAGGTCTATGGTCCAAACTTCTTGGTAAAGCTAGGATATATTTACTATATGTTTGTATAGGGCCTACCATAATGGGGCCTGGATATTAAAGTGTAAAAATAATGATGTATATGATCACGCTTTCTGGTTCCAACATGGATTCCCTCCCAACACCGCATGATTTTCACTTGCTTTCTGTGTCGGTAACATGGCAGTAGACATGATGCCAGGAGTTAAATTATTCTGTGGTCTGTGAACTAGTTTTGGTCTGCACAGAGCTGGCAGTTCACATGGTGCAACACTTTTCATATTCAGCTGCTTCTAAGAGGAGGTGAAGGAGCTAGTTAAGCTACATCTGTTTGGGGCTACTGCTTCAGGAATACTCTTTGATTTGGCTATCTTTTATGATGCGGTCCACACTATAAAGAGGACAAGTATGATGTATACAACCACTGGTATTGTAGGCAAATTTCCAATATTTTCTGCACATTTTAAAACAAACCTCAGGGCAGTTCTAAGTATTTCATAATTTAAAAATAGAATAGCAATAATAATAAGTCATTTAAGAATAATGCTGCAGGTATCACACCATTATATATCTAATTCATCAATCTGAAACTAAGATGCGGTGAACAAGTTTGAGACAATGACAGCTACAAGTCATCTTCATATTTAGTTCCCAGTTAGAAAATTAATTGTGTAATCAGATATTTTTACCTTTGGTTCCTGTTGTGATAAAGAATTTTCATTTCAAAAGCTTTGGCCCTTTGGGCCACCTTATACCCAATCCTGCCCATTCCAATGATACCAAGAGTAGCCCCAGTGACTTCATCTCCCAGCCAGTCACCAGCAAAATATTCAGAGTTTGGGGAAACTGCAATCTGACAACCTAAAATAAAAATACTGACTCAGAAATGGATTTGTTTCAAGATGGCATGTAAGGAAGGGCTACTCAACTTTGGAAGCTCTGGGGGCCAAAATGATACAGTACATGCCAAGGGCTGCAACTTAAGTGTGATTGCATATACATGCAAATATATATTCAAATAGATTATTTCTTTCACACTGATGGGCATGAATACAAAGATTAAGACAAGACTACATAACACGCTTTAAGTCAGTTCTATAGATATAAATAAAATCCAATACTCACCTGATTTCCACCCATATGACAGCAGCACTTTTAATGAACAATGACAGTCCAGGAATGTAACTACTAAAACGCATATCAACAAAATACCATTGTATTGATTACCGTATATACTCGAGTATAAGCCGAGTTTTTCAGCACAGTTTTTGTGCTGAAAAATGCCCCCCTCGGCTTATACTCGAGTCAGCATCTCGAGAACTGAGGCGGGCAAAGCCTCAGAGGCGCGGGACCCCCCCGCGGCTGCGGCTTCAGTCCGGGAGCCTGTGGTCTGCTGGGGACGGTCCCCAGCAGACCACAGGCTCCCGGACTGAAGCCGCAGCCGCGGGGGGGTCCCGCGCCTCTGAGGCTTTGCTCTGGCAAAGCCTCAGAAGCGCGGGAACCCGCCCGGTGCCCCTGGTCTGCTGGAGACGGTCTCCAGCAGACCAGGGGCTCCGGGCGGGTTCCCGCGCTTCTGAGGCTTTGCCAGAGCAAAGCCTCAGAGGCGCGGGACCCCCCCGCGGCTGCGGCTTCAGTCCGGGAGCCTGTGGTCTGCTGGGGACGGTCCCCAGCAGACCACAGGCTCCCGGACTGAAGCCGCAGCCGCGGGGGGGTCCCGCGCCTCTGAGGCTTTGCTCTGGCAAAGCCTCAGAAGCGCGGGAACCCGCCCGGTGCCCCTGGTCTGCTGGAGACGGTCTCCAGCAGACCAGGGGCACCGGAGCAGCTTTCGCCCCGACTTCCGGGGCTAGACCCGGTATCTATCTTCATTTTTTACATTTACCAGTAGCTGCCTCATTTCCTACCCTAGGCTTATACTCGAGTCAATACTTTTTCCCAGTTTTTTGGGGTAAAATTAGGTGCCTCGGCTTATATTCGGGTCGACTTATACTCGAGTATATACGGTACTTTTTTGTTTGGGCTCTCACCCGCAGGCCGCGTGTTGAGTCCTGCATAAAGCCAAACTGCACCACGGGCCACAAACAAATGGGCCGCGGGCCGCATGTGGCCCATAGGCCACGTGTAGAGTAGCCCTGACATAAGGAATGGAACACTGTCAGGCATTCAGCTACTCATCAATTTTAATTGGATCACAAGCCAACAAGGCAATGGAGCACCAATATTTACTTCATCTTTTAATCAAACGTGATGGTTAATATTGACACTGGCAACCAAACCTCTTGATGTGATTTCTTGCTCATTGCAGTAAATTTCCCCTTCACCTTTCCTACCCCGCTCCTCTTGTGAGAGAATGGGTAATAAGATGAGACTCTTAACTTCCGTTTTATTTCCATCACAAACCTGCTCTCGACTTCTGTGGCTCTGGCAGCAGTAAACATTGTCAGCCCTTCAACCATCTTGGGATGGCTTGTCACTAGGGCTATGTCTACTCTGCAGGCTTCTTGCGTAAGAACTGTTTTGCGCAAGAGTTCTTGCACAAGAGTGCGTCCATGCTGCCATGTGCTTTTGCGCAAGAGCATCCACAGCAGTGTGGATGCTCTCTTGTACAAGAAATCTTTGATGGCCATTTTAGCTATAGCGGTTTCTTGCGCAAGAAACCCCTGTTGCCCATGCACACTGCCTCTTTGCGCAAGAGGGCTTATTCCTTGTGGGAAGAGGAATAACTCCCGCACAAGAAGCCCTCTGTTCCAATGCTTTACTGTAAATTTACTTGCACAAGAACACGTGTGCAGTATAGACTCTCCACAAGAAGCCTGCAGTGTACACATAGCCTAGGAGTAATGGAGAGAGGTCCCACTAATAATGCTATAGCTATGCCAACTACAGTAAAGACTAGATAATGGAGTTGATGTGCCACAAGTGGCAGTACCATCCCCAGGTGGGCGGCTTTTAGTGGGGGTCAGATCTCCTCCAGGCCTCTGGAGGCTGCAGGACACCTGGCTGCCATTGTGTTTCCCACACATACTGCAGGCAGAGAGATGAGGTATGGAGATGGGATTGAAGGTTTTGCATCAGCCTAAAACAGGCAGAGTACAGTGCTCTCTCTTGTTGGGCCTGGAAAAACAGGAGCAGAGGGAAGAAATAGTTTGAGGTGCTGTTTATGACCCAGGGTAAAGAAGGGAAGCTCTAAAACTAGAAGTATCTGGGGAGGCATATCTATTGTACTGACATTTTAGTTTGGAAATGATGTGCCACATGGGCAAGCTAATGTTACCATGAGATATTTATTGTCACTTTTCCCTGTCAAGGCTGTTCCCCACTCTGGCACTTTGAGTGCAGAAGATGTGGGCCTGCAAGAGACTTTAAAGATACCTTCCATAGGCTTCTGCTTAAAACTCCCCAAGGTCACAGATTCCCTGGCAGCATACCACCCAAGACCATTACCCAAGTGAAAAAAAAACAAAAAAACCCCCCACACGTCTATTTTTCAACCCAGGAAGATTCACTTGGGAACTTCTTCCCATGGGGTATCCCAAGATCCTTTGTCCCACGGAGCTTGAACAAAACAAACTGTAATCTTTGATAGTTGACTTCTCAGTCTTAGGCATGCATATACAGAATGTCTATTACCTTCCAGAACACAGGAATCAAATCATATTCTTTAAAAAGGTAATTTTATTAACAAAACAAAAAATATACATGGTAAAACAATCTTGGTTGCTAGGTGTTATAAAGCAACTGAGAAAAAACAGATTAAAGCACAAAGAATTACTTTCCTGGGACTGAGTTAATCACAGTGTGTGTGGGAGGGGAGAAGGGCAGATGGACTCAGCAGAGGAATTTAACCAAATTACAAAATACAGAAAATAACTTAGTGTTTAATTAAACATTCCCTATCACTTACATACCTGTATGGTAGCTTCAAGGTCCAGTCCTTTCCTAGGCATGGATATTTGTGCCTGGTTCAATTTAACTTTTCCCCTGAGCTCCTGGTTTAAACTCTCACAAAAGAACTGCAGCAGGCATATTCTCTTTCAGTTCAAATCTCAACACTTGCTTCCCATTGGTTCTCCTGGCTCCCTGCCAGTAAGTCTTGGTTACCCATTTTTTGGACAGTAACAGAATTCTGGGATGTATAGAAAAGAGTAGTACCACTCCCAAACATCACATTCCCCTTTTCTTGATTTTGTGTATTTATATTTTTACCTTAGCATCAACATACACTTTAACATGGTCTAATTTGAAATGCTGACCTTTACTTAGAAACATTAAATGGTTACCTTCCACTATTCTCCTTGCAGATGCCAACATTAAAGCCATCCCCAGATCTGCTGTGGCATTGGAAACAGCAAAAGGAGTGTTGGCGACTTTCACTCCAAAGCTGGAGATCAGTTTCAAGTCCAAATGATCCACTCCTGCCCCACCAGTTGCAATCACCTTTAAGTTAGGCAAACTAGAGAGAAGCTCCTGGTTAGCAACTGGTTTGTTCCACCACATATAAATAGCTTTGATCTTTTCACTCAGATGACTTTTGTTTTCAAGAAATTGCTTCATGGTAATAAGATTAAAATGTTTCCTCAGAAAGTCTACATGGTCCTCGTACACTCCATGTGTCCCTCCTATAGTGTCTATCAACACATAAGGCAGCTCTTGCTCTTCCATGCCCTAGAAAAGGAAACAAAATCAGTGTTTCCCTTAGTAGTTCCTGCCCCCTTCCATGTTTTAAACAACAGTTCAGCTGGGTTTTACTTCACTTTCCCAGTTACGGTAGAAAGAGACAGCAAAGTCATGTCCAAAGTTTCCTGTCTATTTATTGTGAAAAACTGTTGCTACACTATTCAGAGGATAGTCCAGTTTGGAAGCAATGGTTGCTGTTATACCAGGACGATACCAAAAGTTTTTGGCACCCTCAGTGAACTATGACTTTACCCCCTCATATTCAATATAGAGAAGAATTAGATGTCTAGAATGAAATTTTACCTTTGTCATTCAAAATGAAAAGTGTAAAAATAAATATTTGTATTGCAATTAGAATGGAAATGAATGTATATGTTAAGTGGTATTTGTAAACATTAGGAGTCAGGTGTTCGAAAATCAGAGCTTTACTATTTCTTTAATAGTAATACAGGCAGTCCCCAGGTTACGTACAAGATAGGGACTGTAGGTTTGTTCTTAAGTTGAATTTGTATGTAAGTCGGAACAGGTACATATTGTAGGGGAAACTCTAGCCAAACATTTCTCCAGAGCTCAGTTTTATTCTCCCACACCTCACTTCCCTCAGTCCTTTATTCTCAAGCTGAGGTGTCTGCTGAGAAAAGCCACTCCGCGTCTCCCTGGTCTGCTGGGGGGGCGCTAGCTTCACGTCTCCCTGGCCTGCTGGGGGGAAGCAGCTAGTGCGGGGTTGCCTCACCCTGTTTGTAAGTAGGGATCCGATGTAAGTCGGATCCATGTAACCCGGGGACTGCCTGTAGTCTACAATAAATACACAATCTTAATCTTACAAGTACTTATGATTCTGATTTTACAATCTTATAAAAACCTCTTACCAACACAATATAAATTCTTTGAGGGCACAGTGTCTTTGGGATCACACCTTGTAACACAGCAGAACAGCTGTTTGGGGTTGCTGACCAGGCTTCACGAAGTGGCAAGCAACACCAACTCAACTGTATGACTGGCCAACACTGGGCGACAGTACTGAGAATAACTGAATTCCCAGACACTGCCCTAGGCAGCAAACCCAAGTGGCACTCTTTTGAAGTTATGCTGTGACACAGTTTAACTGTATTCACGTACACAGCTATGCACCACAACTTCTGACATGGCAATCATTCACTGTTTTACAAATACAATATTTGATACTTTTGTTTATGAGAGATAATATATAAATCTATTTTTTAAATAGAGAAAAAAATCACTTCTGTCTAATTAGGTGCCCCTTAAAGCCTGGCACCCTACATGACCACCTAGTTTGCTTATATGGTTGGGCCAGCCCTGTTGTTATAGCATGGCATAGGTGTCCTAACAAATACCTACATATGGAAAGTTAAGATAAAATTTAACAGAAATAATTAAGTAAAACAGTATCAGTTCAAGGGTCAATGTGTATACAGTTCAAGGCTTTGTGGGCCAAAGGACATCTCTCTGTTCATAGGGTCAAACTCTGTATTCACTTCCACTTATGCAACCCTACTTAAGTCAGTGAATTTTCATCAGAGTATTTAAGGACATGATTTCATCTAATCTAGAATGCTATTTATGGACTAATGTGCTGCATGCAGTCTCTACTTCACTTTGTAACTTAGGTCACTAATTTTGATTGCTCAACAGGAAAACATTGCAGGATTTTGAAGTGCATGCACTGTTGACTCTGGAAATATCAAACCCATAGTTTGAAATTCAAGCCCAATTGTTGTCTTATTAAAGAAAGAGAGAACAGAATTAAAACTTCCATTTATGGAGTAAAAAGGAACTATGTTCCAGGCCAAAAACAAACAACAAAAATAAAATATTCATTTAACATTTTGTAGACTGTATATTTTACTGAGATTAGGGTTTTTTTTTCCAAAACTGGTTAAACACATAAACAAGAAAAACTGCTCCTGAGCTTTTCAAAAGTATCACTGCATTCATAACTGCTGCAAAAACCAAAACCAAAACCACCAAAAACCTAACAATCCTCTTCACCCAAATCCCATGCCTTCTTGAAATGTACACTTCAAGCTTTAATTACTAGATTTTCTGGTGGGTAGTTTTCGTACCTTGGAAAATCAGTTTTAAAAGCACAGGCAATTTTCTCAATCACCCAGCAGATAGGGCTGGAGAGATTAAAATACCAATTTAAAGTATAGACCATTGCTTAGTTCACACTTTTTATTCTTTGGGGTTGGGTGTAAATACCAACAGACTACATTTATTTTATTTTATTTTAACATGAGTGTGTGCGTGCATACATGTGCAAGGGAGGAAAAGGTGTTGATTGACTTGTTCCACAGAGAACAAAGACTTGGAACCCCGCAAACTCCACATATCTTCTGAAACTGAATGTCAGTCCCAAAAATCCTCTTATTCTGCTTCATTCTTCCTGCATTGCCCCAGTCTACTGTCAGTCACTTGTGCTTGAACACATTCCCTCTGATCTCGCTAATTCATGTGAGTTCCATGACCCCTCCCCAGAGCCACCAGGCTCCTGAAGTGACTGTCTACCCCTTTAACAGTTTCAGGCTTAAGGATGAGATTGTGACCCAACTCTGTGGGCAGACTCTGGGAATGGTTTCCAGCAGTCAGAAAGTGGGAGCTGAGTCACCCGGCCAAAGTCCTAAACCACCCTCTTCTTTATTCCAGAACTACTAGTAAGCAGCTATTTTCCTAGGTTTTAGTCAGCTGAAAAATGGTAATTTCTACAGGGGCTTTATTCAAAGCCCATTGGAATTAGTGGGAAAACTTTCACTGACATAACTGAGCTTTGGATCAGGCAGAAGGAGTTATATACCCATTTCTTGCAGTTGCCTCCACAGCATCTCTCTTACTATAATTTCCTAAGCCTTTTTGACTCAACAAATTAATTTAATAATTTCTAACAAAACACTCCAGTATTTCTCCTGGGGGTATTCCAAAGCCAATGAGTCATAGAACCACAGTGAAGTTTGGTGGTCTTTTTCTTTTTCTTTAATTAACCAGTCTGGATCTGATTATGGAGAAATTAAACAATACTGTCTCCTCAAAAAGTCTACAACCATGGTCCCCAACACGGTGCCCACGGGCACCATGGCACCCGCAGGGGCATTTGTGTGCGCCCGCCAAGTGCTTGGGGCTGGCCTGGCCCCGGGCACGTGGCGCATGCATGATGCCGGAGCCAGCCCCGGGCACATGGCGCACGGTGAGCGCCGGCCCCGGGAGCGCCGCGGATTGGCCGCCCGTGCTCTGGGCGTGGGGCGCTTGGAGGGGGCACTGGCCCCAGGCGCGCGGCTATGGGGGGGGCCGGCCCCGGGCATGCAATTGTCCCCGCCCCCTGGCAGGCGAGTCACCCGAGCAGCCACACACCCCTGGCGCCCGGCAACCTCAAATGGTTGGGGACCACTGGTCTACAAGAATACACGTGTTTATGCAAAACTGATCTCAAGCTTTTTATGGGCCAAGTGCAGCAATGCTGCATGGAATCCATAGCAGTTGCAAACTGGGGCCAGCGGTGAGTGCTAACACTGACAGGACACTGACCAGTTCAGAGACAGAGATGGCCTTTTAATGTTCCCTGGGGTTAAAGAAGAGTCTCATTGGGCTTGGGAAGCAAAGCTTGGGGTTGGGCAGGGACTGCTGAACTATCTCTGCCTTTAATATTTTTGCTCAGGAATGCACCAAGTGGCAGGTATTTTCAAGAGATCTTAAGCTACCACCAAGAGCTCAGAACGCAAACCCACTCTACTGGGGAAGTGTGACTGTCACAGGATGGAGTCCCCTCTAGCATTCCCCAGACATGTTCTCCTTGCAATACCCTAGTTTGACACTACAAGGACTTTCCTCATTAGGACTACTCCCTCCCTTAGCAAATTACCCAATTTCAGCACTAGTGAGGCAGGAGACTTAGGAGGGAAAATCAGGATGATGAGGGCTTGGTATGCAGAGGAGGAATTGGGGGTTTCCCCCCTTTAAAATGCAGTGGAATTATAACAATCAATCAAGAAAAGTCACCACTCACTAAATCAGGGCTGGTCAATAATTTTTAATGGCGG